TGTCTGTACCATCAACACAGTCCATCCACTGACTGTCTGCACCATCAACACAGTTTATCCACTGACTGTCTGTACCATCAACCCAGTCCATCCACTGACTGTCTATACCATCAACCCAGTCTGTCCACTGACTGTTTGTCCCTTCAACCCAGTCCATCCACTGACTGTCTATACCATCAACCCAGTCCATCCACTGACTGTCTGCACCATCAACACAGTTTATCCACTGACTGTCTGTACCATCAACACAGTCCATCCACTGACTGTCTGCACCATCAACACAGTCCATCCACTGACTGTCTGTACCATCAACCCAGTTCATCCACTGACTGTCTGTACCATCAACCCAGTCCATCCACTGACTGTCTGTACCATCAACACAGTCCATCCACTGACTGTCTGCACCATGAACACTGTCCATCCACTGACTGTCTGCACCATCAACCCAGTCTGTCCACTGACTGTCTGTACCATCAACTCAGTCCATCCACTGACTGTCTGTAACATCAACCCAGTCCATCCACTGACTGTCAGTACCATCAACCGAGTCTGTCCACTGACTGTCTGTACCATCAACCCAGTCCATCCACTGACTGTTTGTACCATCAACCCAGTCTGTCCACTGACTGTCTGTACCATCAACCCAGTCTGTCCACTGACTGTCTGTACCATCAACTCAGTCCATCCACTGACTGTCTGTAACATCAACCCAGTCCATCCACTGACTGTCAGTACCATCAACCGAGTCTGTCCACTGACTGTCTGTACCATCAACCCAGTCCATCCACTGACTGTCAGTACCATCAACCGAGTCTGTCCACTGACTGTCTGTACCATCAACCCAGTCCATCCACTGACTGTCTGTACCATCAACCCAGTCCATCCACTGACTGTTTGTACCATCAACCCAGTCTGTCCACTGACTGTCTGTACCATCAACACAGTCTGTCCACTGACTGTCTATACCATCAACCCAGTCTGTCCATTGACTGTTTGTCCCTTCACCCCAGTCTGTCCACTGACTGTCTATACCATCAACCCAGTCAGTCCACTGACTGTCTGTACCATCGCCTCATTCCGTGATCTGACTGTCTGTACCATCGCCTCATTCCGTAAACTGACTGTCTAAACCATCAACACAGTCCATCCACTGACTCTCTCCACCATCAACACAGTTTATCCACTGACTTTCTGTACCATCAACCCAGTCCATCCACTGACTGTCTGTACCATCAACCCAGTCTGTCCACTGACTGTTTGTCCCTTCAACCCAGTCCATTCACTGACTGTCTGTACCATCAACACAGTCCATCCACTGACTGTCTGCACCATCAACACAGTTTATCCACTGACTGTCTGTACCATCAACCCAGTCCATCCACTGACTGTCTATACCATCAACCCAGTCTGTCCACTGACTGTTTGTCCCTTCAACCCAGTCCATCCACTGACTGTCTATACCATCAACCCAGTCCATCCACTGACTGTCTGCACCATCAACACAGTTTATCCACTGACTGTCTGTACCATCAACACAGTCCATCCACTGACTGTCTGCACCATCAACACAGTCCATCCACTGACTGTCTGTACCATCAACCCAGTTCATCCACTGACTGTCTGTACCATCAACCCAGTTCATCCACTGACTGTCTGTACCATCAACTCAGTCCATCCACTGACTGTCTGCACCATCAACACAGTCCATCCACTGACTGTCTGTACCATCAACCCAGTTCATCCACTGACTGTCTGTACCATCAACCCAGTTCATCCACTGACTGTCTGTACCATGAACCCAGTTCATCCACTGACTGTCTATACCATCAACCCAGTCTGTCCACTGACTGTTTGTCCCTTCAACCCAGTCCATCCACTGACTGTCTGCACCATCGCCTCATTCCGTCCACTGACTGTCTGTACCATCGCCCCATTCCGTGAACTGACTGTCTGTACCATCAACCCAGTCCATCCACTGACTGTCTGCACGATGAACCCAGTCCATCCACTGACTGTTTGTCCCTTCAACCCAGTCTGTCCACTGACTGTCTGTACCATCAACCCAGTCTGTCCACTGACTGTCTGTACCATCAACCCAGTCTGTCCACTGACTGTCTGCACCATCAACCCAGTCTGTCCACTGACTGTTTGTCCCTTCAACCCAGTCTGTCCACTGACTGTCTGCACCATCAACTCAGTCCATCCACTGACTATCTATACCATCAACCAAGTCTGTCCACTGACTGTTTGTCCCTTCACCCCAGTCCATCCACTGACTGTCTGTACCATCAACACAGTCCATCCACTGACTGTCTGCACCTTTAACACTGTCCATCCACTGACTGTCTGTACCATCAACCCAGTCTGTCCACTGACTGTCTGTACCATCGCCTCATATCGTCCACTGACTGTCTGTACCATCGCCTCATTCCGTGAACTGACTGTCTGTACCATCAACCAAGTCCATCCCCTGACTGTCTGCACGATGAACCCAGTCCATCCATTGACTGTTTGTCCCTTCAACCCAGTCTGTCCACTGACTGTTTGTCCCTTCAACCCAGTCTGTCCACTGACTGTCTGCACCATCAACCCAGTCTGTCCACTGACTGTCTGTAACATCAACCCAGTCCATCCACTGACTGTCTGTACCATCAACCCAGTCCGTCCACTGACTGTCTGTACCATCAACCCAGTCTGTCCACTGACTGTCTGTACGATTCTTCATTCCGTCCACTGACTGTCTGTACCATCACCTCATTCCGTGAACTGACTGTCTGCACCCTCAACCCAGTCCATCCACTGACTGTCTGCACCATGAACCCAGTCCGTCTACTGACTGTCTGTAGCATCAACCCAGTTCATCCACTGACTGTCTGTACCATCAACCCAGTCTGTCCACTGACTGTCTGTACGATCGCCTCATTCCATCCACTGACTGTCTGTACCATCGCCTCATTCCATGAACTGACTGTCTGCACCCTCAACCCAGTCCATCCACTGACTGTCTGCACCATGAACCCAGTCCATCCACTGACTGTCTGTAACATCAACCCAGTCTGTCCACTGACTGTCTGTACCATCGCCTCATTCCATGAACTGACTGTCTGTAACATCAACCCAGTCCATCCACTGACTGTCTGCACCCTCAACACAGTCCATCCACTGACTGTTTGTACCATCAACTCAGTCCATCCACTGACTGTCTGTAACATCAACCCAGTCTGTCCACTGACTGTCTGTACCATCAACCCAGCCTGTCCACTGACTGTCTGTATGATCGCCTCATTCTGTCCACTGACTGTCTGTACGATCGCCTCATTCCATCCACTGACTGTCTGTACCATCGCCTCATTCCATGAACTGACTGTCTGCACCCTCAACCCAGTCCATCCACTGACTGTCTGCACCATCAACACAGTCCATCCACTGACTGTCTGTACCATCAACCCAGTCTGTCCACTGACTGTTTGTACCATCAACCCAGTCCATCCACTGACTGTCTGTACCATCAACCCAGTCCATCCACTGACTGTCTGTACCATCAACCCAGTCCGTCCACTGACTTTCTGTACCATCAACCCAGTCTGTCCACTGACTGTCTGTAAGATTCTTCATTCCGTCCACTGACTGTCTGTACCATCACCTCATTCCGTGAACTGACTGTCTGCACCCTCAACCCAGTCCATCCATTGACTGTCTGTAACATCAACCCAGTCCATCCACTGACTGTCTGTACCATCAACTCAGTCCATCCACTGACTGTCTGTACCATCAACTCAGTCCATCCACTGACTGTCTGTAACATCAACCCAGTCCATCCACTGACTGTCTGTACCATCAACCCAGTCCATCCAATGACTGTCTGTACCATCAACCCAGTCCATCCACTGACTGTCTGCACCATCGCCTCATTCCGTGAACTGACTGTCTGCACCATCAACCCAGTCCATCGACTGACTGTCTGCACCATCGCCTCATTCCGTGAACTGACTGTCTGTACCATCAACCCAGTCTGTCCACTGTCTGTCTGTAACATCAACCCAGTCCATCCACTGACTGTCTGTACTATCAACCCAGTCCGTCCACTGACTGTCTGTACCATCAACCCAGTCTGTCCACTGACTGTCTGTACGATTCTTCATTCCGTCCACTGACTGTCTGTACCATCACCTCATTCCGTGAACTGACTGTCTGCACCCTCAACCCAGTCCATCCACTGACTGTCTGCACCATGAACCCAGTCCGTCTACTGACTGTCTGTAGCATCAACCCAGTCCATCCACTGACTGTCTGTACCATCAACCCAGTCTGTCCACTGACTGTCTGTACGATCGCCTCATTCCGTCCACTGACTGTCTGTACCATTGCCTCATTCCATGAACTGACTGTCTGCACCCTCAACCCAGTCCATCCACTGACTGTCTGCACCATGAACCCAGTCCGTCCACTGACTGTCTGTACCATCAACCCAGTCTGTCCACTGACTGTCTGTACCATCACCTCATTCCGTGAACTGACTGTCTGTAACATCAACCCAGTCCATCCACTGACTGTCAGTACCATCAACCCAGTCCATCCACTGACTGTCTGTACGATTCTTCATTCCGTCCACTGACTGTCTGTACCATCACCTCATTCCGTGAACTGACTGTCTGCACCCTCAACCCAGTCTGTCCATTGACTGTCTGCACCATGAACCCAGTCCATCTACTGACTGTCTGTAGCATCAACCCAGTCCATCCACTGACTGTCTGTACCATCAACCCAGTCTGTCCACTGACTGTCTGTATGATCGCCTCATTCCGTCCACTGACTGTCTGTACGATCGCCTCATTCTGTCCACTGACTGTCTGTACCATCGCCTCATTCCGTGAACTGACTGTCTGCACCCTCAACCCAGTCCATCCACTGACTGTCTGCACCATGAACCCAGTCCGTCCACTGACTGTCAGTAGCATCAACCCAGTCCATCCACTGACTGTTTGTACCATCAACCCAGTCTATCCACTGACTGTCTGTACGATCGCCTCATTCCGTCCACTGACTTTCTGCACCATCAACCCAGTCTGTCCACTGACTTTCTGCACCATCAACCCAGTCTGTCCACTGACTGTCTGTACGATCGCCTCATTCCGTCCACTGACTTTCTGCACCATCAACCCAGCCTGTCCACTGACTGTCTGTACGATTGCGTCATTCCGTCCACTGACTGTCTGTACCATCAACCCAGTCCGTCCACTGACTGCCTGTACGATCGCCTCATTCCGTCCACTGACTGTCTGTACCATCGCCTCATTCCATCCACTGACTCTCTGTACCATCAACACTGTCTGTCCACTGACTGTCTGTACGATCGCCTCATTCCGTCCACTGACTGTCTGTACCATCGCCTCATTCCGTCCACTGACTGTCTGTACCATCGCCTCATTCCGTCCACTGACTGTCTGTACCATGAACACTGTCTGTCCACTGACTGTCTGTACGATCGCCTCATTCCGTCCACTGACTGTCTGTACCATCGCCTCATTCCGTCCACTGACTGTCTGTACCATCACCTCATTCCGTCCACTGACTGCCTGTACCATCAACGCTGTCTGTCCACTGACTGTCTGTACGATCGCCTCATTCCGTCCACTGACTGTCTGTACCATCAACACTGTCTGTCCACTGACTGTCTGTACGATCGCCTCATTCCGTCCACTGACTGTCTGTACCATCGCCTCATTCCGTCCACTGACTGTCTGTACCATCACCTCATTCCGTCCACTGACTGTCTGTACCATCAACCCAGTCCATCCACTGACTGTCTGTACCATCAACCCAGTCCGTCCACTGACTGCCTGTACCATCCCCCTAGTTTTGCTTCCACATCACCTTCAGACACTCAGTTTGGTGTAGACAGCGTCTAATGTTCAAAAGACAAGGCTTGGAAAGTGGACTGTTCACAGATGAGTCCAGGTTTCATCTGGAGAGCTCCGATGGTCGTGGAAGGGTCTTCAGGCATCCAGGAGAGCATTTTTTATGACTCGACATGGTCCGTTTGGGGATGGCAGCGTAATGTTTTGTGGTGGCATCACAACTCATCGGCAATTTGAATGGCAGTCGCCCTGTAACAGACTTTTTGAGGCAGAATAACATTGCCGTACTGCCATGGGCTGTTTCTCCAAATATCTCCCCTTCAGTCTGGAATGAGATGAAACAACACCTACCACAGGACCAGAACCAGCCGGTAACCCAAGCTCTTTTGACATTAAGAATGTCATTTAGAATCCACTGCTACCTCATCTGCATCAACACAAATGATGGTCAGACCTGATAATGATACGGCTAATTGAGTTGTTTCACCACCCTTCTTTTAGGGTGTCTTGCTCTGTCTCCTGTTACCAGGTAGGGGTTTGTCAATGAATTTGTTATAATAAAAATTGTTGAGATGAAGGACCACATATTATGTTGTTATTTTTCAATCACGTAACATTTAGGTTGTCTGAAGCACAGTTACTTTTTTACACTAATATTCACTGTTGTAACCACTTCATCATGACAGTTTATATCCTGCTCCACCACATACCACTGATTGCTGTCATTATTGTTTCTTGGAGAGTTAATGCCAGTTCTCATAATCAACTCCACATTGTGTAGTTAAGACTGAATAATTTGTCCAAGATAACCTTTTTGTAATCCCAAAGTCCACACCCTAGCTGTTATGGAGATAGCGTTGTTATTAGTGAAGCAGTCTTGCTGGCTGCCTGGATGTGATTTGAGTGGCCAGCTCCATGTCAGGCTGCATGTTGACATTGCAGTGTTGTCAATGTGTCAGTACCACCCCACCTTGTTCTGTGGACAGGAAGCAGTCTGTGTCCTACTGGCTGGAACTGTTAGGAGAAGATAACTCTCATGTCATCAATGCCAACATTAATCGTTGGAGAGTAGGATTCAAATATAAGGAGACCCTTCACTGTATGTTGTAAGACTTTGTGATATTACTCCCAAGGAAATTGGTATACTACAGAGGCTGGTCATAACAGAATGTGCTGTATATGTCAAAGTACATTTGTTTTGCAGGTCCTATATTTAACCACTGCTTTGCACAAGGCATGGTTTTATACTTGTCCTACAAATTGACAAGTGGAATATATAAATGATGTTTTATTGCATCAACTTTCACCTCACGCTGAGCTGATAAGATTTGCAGTATCTCAGACCTGTGTCCTGTTAGTAGTTATCATTGTGTAGGAGTTATGGCTCGCAAATTAGAAGCATGTGAAACTGATGTCTTATATCAGTTAGATAGATTGCATTTCAGTATGAGGAAGTCAATATAGTTTTTATACAAACCTAGTTGTTTATGTTATGTTACACCTCATTGGGTTGAAGGGCAAGAAGTGTTTACTTTCTGTCACCTGGTGGGCCCAGATATTAGTGTTTGTATTGATGATAATTAAGGTTTAACATGTTTCTGACATGAGGATATTTTCTCTTTTTAGGCTTCGAAATTAAAGCCCCACATACAGGCCTCTGAGTGAGAAAATAGAGGAAACAGGTTGATAAAATGTCTGGTAGTCGTTAACTTTTACTTGTTCCTCCTTAAACTACAATGCTTGTTGAGCTGAAACTTTGTATGAATGTCATTTTTTTTATCATCACATAAATGCATTTTTTGGCACATTTTCATTTTTGATCCTGTTATGATCTGTTACTTTTATGTACGAATGTTTTTCAAGTGTTACTGCTTTATCAAAATCTAAACTACAACACTTATGGAGCTGAATCTTTGTATAAATGTTCCCAGCTTGTCACCTGCCAGTTTTGGAATTCCATTAATGGCTATTAACTGGCCTTCTCTGTGGCCTTCTCAAAGCGTATTGAAATTTGGCATAGGTGTTTTCAGTTGTTTGACCTAAGAAATATCTTCCATTTGTTTTAATATTTTGAATTTGAACTATCATTCAACCTGTACAGCATAATAGTTGGTTTCACTAGCCTGTCACCATGTTTCATTCAGTGAACTGCATACAATGCAAATGGCAAAATGGCAAAAAGTAAATGAAACCAAACTGACGCAACTGAACAAATGACCAACAGCACTTCAGTATGATTCTTGTTAAGGTTATTGGGGTACATGACCCCAATAACCCAGACTCTGACATTTACAGTTGGAAAACTGAATCGATGCCATATGCCTAAATCAAGAGGCAGATAATCTCATTCAGGGCTCATTAAAGTGTGGTCAGCAATGATTGAAGAGTTTACGCTAAACTATGTAGCTGTAATTCACTTCATACTTAACAGTTTTGTTAGCAGTAAAACTATAAGAGGAAGGGTCCTGATGAGTTACTTCAGAGAGTGGTGTGTTAGGGAGGTCACCAAGACATGGTTCTGGTCAGCATCTGACCCACTGTTTTCCATCATCATTTATTTATGGGAGTCTCACCCACATTCTGCTGTTAGCACTTGTGTGAGACACAGTGTCTGGGAAGCTGTGAGAAGTGTTTGTCTGGCCCCAGGAGAGAAGGTGGTGGGTGTGCAGCAGACACCACACTACAGCCTAGCAGGCTTGGGTTGGGCATGTTAGGATGGTGTCTAGACAGCCACATATAAGAGAAGGACAATGTCTTCATTTTTTTCTTCTAAATTCATACTGTTTTCACAAGAGATTTTGATCTTGTATTAGGAGAATCAATGGGAACTTTCTGCACTATGAGGTTCATTAAAACCTATTGTGTCAGTATGTCATTTATTCCATGGAACACACACTACACAAACACATATTCGCCCCTCCATGTGATGTTACTTCATTCATCTGCTGGTGGCCTGGTTTGATGCCCACCAGTTGTGATGTTACTTCATTCATCTGTTGGTGGCCTGGTTTGATGCCCACCAGTTGTGTTGCTACTACATTGATCAGTTGGTGGTCTGGTTTGATGCCTACCAGTTGTGTTGCTACTACATTGATCAGTTGGTGGCCTGGTTTGATGCCCACCAGTTGTGATGTTACTTCATTCATCTGCTGGTGGCCTGGTTTGATGCCCACCAGTTGCGATGTTACTTCATTCATCTGCTGGTGGCCTGGTTTGATGCCCACCAGTTGTGATGTTACTTCATTCATCTGCTGGTGGCCTGGTTTGATGCCCACCAGTTGTGATGTTACTTCATTCATCTGTTGGTGGCCTGGTTTGATGCCCACCAGTTGTGTTGCTACTACATTGATCAGTTGGTGGTCTGGTTTGATGCCTACCAGTTGTGTTGCTACTACATTGATCAGTTGGTGGCCTGGTTTGATGCCCACCAGTTGTGATGTTACTTCATTCATCTGCAGGTGGCCTGGTTTGATGCCAACCAGTTGCAATGTTACTTCATTCATCTGCTGGTGGCCTGGTTTGATGCCCACCAGTTGTGATGTTACTTCATTCATCTGCAGGTGGCCTGGTTTGATCCCCACCAGTTGTGATGTTACTTCATTCATCTGTTGGTGGCCTGGTTTGATGCCCACCAGTTGTGATGTTACTTTATTCATCTGTTGGTGGCCTGGTTTGATGCACAGCAGTTGTGATGTTACTTCATTCATCTGCAGGTGCCCTGGTTTGTTGCCCACCAGTTGTGTTGCTACATTGATCAGTTGGTGGCCTGGTTTGATGCCCACCAGTTGTGTTGCTACATTGATCAGTTGGTGGCCTGGTTTGATGCCTACCAGTTGTGATGTTACTTTATTCATCTGTTGGTGGCCTGGTTTGATGCACAGCAGTTGTGATGTTACTTCATTCATCTGTTGGTGGCCTGGTTTGATGCCCACCAGTTGTGTTGCTACATTGATCAGTTGGTGGCCTGGTTTGATGCCTACCAGTTGTGTTGCTACTACATTGATCAGTTGGTGGCCTGGTTTGATGCCTACCAGTTGTTTTGCTACTACATTGATCAGTTGGTTGCCTGGTTTGATCCCCACCAGTTGTGATGTTACTTCATTTATCTGCTGGTGGCCTGGTTTGTTGCCCACCAGTTGTGTTGCTACTACATTGATCAGTTGGTGGCCTGGTTTGATGCCCACCAGTTGTGTTGCTACATTGATCAGTTGGTGGCCTGGTTTGTTGCCCACCAGTTGTGTTGCTACTACATTGATCAGTTGGTGGCCTGGTTTGATGCCCACCAGTTGTGTTGCTACTACATTGATCAGTTGGTGGCCTGGTTTGATGCCCACCAGTTGTGTTGCTACTACATTGATCAGTTGGTGGCCTGGTTTGATGCCCACCAGTTGTGTTGCTACTACATTGATCAGTTGGTGGCCTGGTTTGATGCCCACCAGTTGTGTTGCTACATTGATCAGTTGGTGGCCTGGTTTGATGCCCACCAGTTGTGTTGCTACTACATTGATCAGTTGGTGGCCTGGTTTGTTGCCCACCAGTTGTGTTGCTACTACATTGATCAG